ATGGACTATTTCTTTGTTTTATTCCAACGTTCGAGACTCTACTGAATTTTTCTTTCACTCCTTATGAAGCTGCTCTTTTTCATCAACCATTTGCTTTGCTCTTAAGTGCTTCTTCTTCTCTCAAAACGACTCTTGTGTATAATGTCAAAGCTGTCCAGATCATTTGGTCAATTTCAGAAGCACAAATGTGAGTTCAAAAAGTCGGCCATCTACTGCTACTGTACTTATGATATGTGCAACATGGCTCCGGTTATAGTACAGGTACGATTTGAAGACATGAGGCGCGATAATTTGGTAACCTCTAAAACAGTAGCAGGGGTGCTATGTAGGGGCAAAATGACGAAAAGGCAAAGCTAAACGACCGTAAACCTGCAAAAAAATCCGTTTCTCTGACGAGCATGCTTGGACGAGTTTCCAGTTGGCATCATTGCTAATAATAGAGCAGTAGAGCAGATTGGGTAATGCCACGGCTAAAGAGAATAGTATCGCAATGGGATTGGAACCGATGCAGCTGTGGCTACAAACTTGATTACCTGTCTTTTACAGGCCTACAAGCAGACCCACAAAGCTAGTGGTTCATAAAATAGTGTGAAAAATAGATTTGCAAGACTCATAACTATTAGAGTCTCATCACGTGTCCAAACAGAGGAGAGCATGTCGTTTGCTATTTCAGGCATTTATTCATCGTCATTTGGCGAGACCTATCAAAGATCTCTGTCAAACACCTGACGAAAACTGCTACAAGAATCTCTCCTGCTATTTGGAAAAAAGTGGTACGCCCATTTTCGTCATCACTTTTTCTATTACGCTGCTGAATTCCACGAGGTTTTTTGTGAGAAAGCGTTTTCTAGCAGCTTCTCTGTCGATGCTTCGTTCTGTTGTTGACATTCAAGCTACTTTGTTTGATTCTCATTTGGGGTTTCCCTTTATCTACACGACTGCTTGGATACCCATTTAACGTCTTATGTTGTACTTCGCTGCGGACGGTTGGGCGTGTCAGGCGGGATGAGTTTGGCGCGGTGCCAAACCCGTTCTCCACCAGTTGTTAAAGCGAGCAAGTGATATGACTGTATCATATCGTTCGTATTACTCGTTTTCTACCACTTTTTGTCGCATGCGCGCTTCAACAAGAAGGCAGAGAACGGCTTGACGGGTGACACACTCATACTGCCTGACACGCCCAACCGTCCGCAGCGAACTACACCATTGTTTCTCCAGCCTTTTCCTCCGGTCTCTCAGAACTGCAGCTTGTGAAATCGCCGAGGGAGCTGGCCGATCTCTACACGTTGCAGCCGCGCACAGTCCGCATTCGACATGACATTGCCAGACAGAACGTCGCAAAAAAAGGTCACATCGAAGCTCATGCTACACTGTTAGACGGCATTCCCTTTGCTATAGCCTACAGATTGCTCCTTTTAACCGCTACTTAACTTCCGAACTAATCCATCCCATAAACGAGAAGCTTCAAGACCCGAGCCTGAGTTGAATTCAAATTGACACCCATCTTTACCTGTATCACCCCCTCTTTGATGCCGTCGTTTCGAAACGTCGAAACGAAATAATGATGACAAGGACTCTGCAATGACAATGGTGCACATACTCAACCCTATACCTCAACCTGATACACTCTGTTAATATATGCGGTGGGCATGTTATACTTAAGGAAAAGCAAGCAAACTGTACACTCACCTTTGTGGGTCCCGGTCTTTCCCAGGTGTGGGGAGAGTAGGCCTGCAGCTGCAGTAGCCTTCCACTTTCACTCAAAAAGCGCACGGAAAGTGCGCAGTTAGGATGGTGATCACGGGTGTCGCCGCCATACTCCGCAGACGCTTCGGCACGGCCAGCTGGCGCCTAGCCATGACCAAACGCACCACTTATCAGTGCTCTCTTACTTCTGACTGTACCCCACCGCTGACCATGAGATGTGTTTTACTGCCGGATCTTGTTATCAAATCTGAATATTCCACATAAATATCCAGGATGAAGTTGCCGACGTAATTAATCTCGAATGTACAATTTCCAGATTATTTCAAGCTACACCCTACTCCAAAACGGAAAGAAGCTCAACCTACTACAAAACCGAAGGTGAGGTTATTTTACTTGAGAGCCTTTGACGTGTGATGACTGGCTTCCATATACAGGGGGGGGGGGGGCCAAAAAAAAGTCATTCCGGCCGAGTCACATATGAGCGAAGTTTTCGCAGCCCAGACAGAGGAAGTGGATATGAGTACCAGGGCGGAAGATACCCAAGATCTTCCTCTATAAGCAGGAGCCGGCTGCCGCCATTCACCTTCATGTACACCAAAATATGAAGTCATCTCCAGTCGCGGCCTGAGTGGAGAACGCCTTTGGAATTCACGTGGCCTCCAAACAGCTGCGGAACTTCTTGAATGGAATCACCCATGGATAGCTACCTGGAGAGTACTCTTGATCTGCAAGACCTCTGGAAAAGATGGAGTATTTAAGCGGGGGTCCTGAACTAAACCCCCTCAATTACTCGGTTCGGGCGGGTGGTCTACAGTGGCGGAGAAATCAACGATCTCGCTCAACTCCGGTACCCACTCACTTTCGCGCGGCCGAATCTCTCGATGGCGCTCCTCCAGAAGGCTGTGGCGGAGTATCATTATAGTATTTAATGTGCTCTTTAATATGGTAGTAAAAATGTCCGATAAAAATTTAATAAAGTGTAACTTATAGCGCCTTGAAAGTCATGGAGGCAAAATGACTTTTTTTGCCCCCCCCCTGTATGAAAGAATTGCAGCGTCAGCGCTTAGCACTTAATTGAATTTGTATGCGAGCTGCCCGCACCCTCAACGACAGGCTAGCGTGGTACTGGGGACCTGGACGTTGCTATATTATAGAGGATGATGGAGATTTTAATGATGACGCAATATAGAAGGTGTCGTGCACAGGTGCCGACAAGAGACGTTGGCATCGGCGGGGTGCACCGGGTCACGCCAGAGCGCGGGATTATTAGGGCCCGCACCCTCCTACAAGGGACGTTCGCGCCGCTCGCCTGCCCCAGGTCCTGCCACGGGCTGAATGAGGGGCCCTGCCCCTTGCTAAGTGGATGACAATCATGGATCTACCCACTATAATTACTCTGACAAGACACGATTACCTTCAGAACTTCATGTAGAAAAACATTACACGATAACATAGACAAATTCATCGTAATCTAATAATACACATGGCCAATGGCTAATCGAATATTAATATAGTGTAGTTCATTGCGGACGGTTGGGCGTGTTCGTGCGGCTGCGTTTGGCGCGGTGCCAAACTCGTTCTCCACGAGTTGTTCAAGCGAGCAAATGACAATACTGTATCATACCTTTCGTATTACTTGTTTTCTACTGCTTTTTGTCGCATGCCCGTTTCAACAAGAAGGCAGAGAACAGCTCAAAGAGGGTGACACACTCATACTGGCTGACACGCCCAACCGTCCGCAGCGAAGTAGAGTGTATGTACAAAAGAAAATGATTAAGAGGAAGTCGTACCTGTGGATGAAGAAGAGGATGGGAGCAATAGGTGGAAGCAGTTGATCAGTAGTGACAGGAGAAGACCATGGAATGAGTTAGACGGGACAGGGAATGGCGACGCTGGTCCACCAGTTGCACAACCGCTCATAGTGAGCGCAGGACGACGACTGATTTGAAAAATGATGACAATAGTACTGTCTGCGCGGTTCCCGCGGATCAGGCTTTTCATAGTAGGACCAACTGTAGTGCAACCCGAGCGCGGTATCCTCCCGGCGCCCCATTAGCAGGAAAGGTCGTGCGTCAGTCACAACAGAAGGAGTCACCATGTTAGGTACTGCCACACGGTTTTGAAAATGTGTAATTATAATGGATTCAAGGTAAGAATACTGTAGGTTGGTCGGTCGGTGAATGTTCTCGGTTTCAGCAGGTGAGTAACAAAGCAACAGCGACAAAGGGGAGGCAAGCAACCGCAACAAGGATGGCAAAAGGGAAGGCGGTATCGTAGACCCATGTAGAACATACTTCATCAGCACTTCATTCGATCAACGTTTAATAAAGATCCTATATAACATTGTACTCAACCGTTGCTACGAGTGACAACCAGATGTTTTTGAATGGAACGTTTTGACTATTTCTTCAACTTTTTCCCAATGACATGCAACAAGAATGGAAAGACAACTTGATCACGACGAGTGTCGTCAAAGCTCACGCCACACAATGAAAAGGTACAAGGGATATCCAAGGAGAGCTCTTCCTGAACATCCAGTAAGAAATTTTCCCCAGGTAAAAGTGGCCATGTGAGCAGCTACATAGGGCTGTATACATAGGGCATGGTGAAAACGCTAGACAATCGTGCTGTAGCTGCGGTTCGACGTGCACTACTGAATGGATGCGCAGCTATGGAAGCCTTTCCGTCAGTTGTGGCGGGCTGGCCGCTGAACAGCGTAAGGCAGCATTCAGACTTCGCGACGGCAGCGTTTTGGCAGTCTTTCGGGCGATCGCGCTCTTTTCCTGCCTTAGCGCGCACTTTTTGGATCAACTACGCACAATTTTTCTGCGAGCATGAAATCACCCGCTATGGCAATTCAGGACAGTGATTTCCCCTCTGTTCTTTCCAGTTCCGCTGGTTCCCCGGTAAGAACCGTACGAGTGACGATTTTCATGGTTTTTCTTTCCGCAGCTTCTTTACTGGGAGGTGGGCTTTGAGGGCGGAGTCTGGAGGCGGAGCCCGAACCTATATTCCGTGTAGCGCCCCTCCCTTACAATTTTTTTGCGAAACCGCTACAAGGTTGTTCGTCGCGGGCCACACTACCCTCCCGACGCCATATTTTCAACATTCTATACCTCATCGCGGACCGTACCTTTTAACAGAATGAACTGAAATTTAAAAGTCAGATCACTGGCAGCTCTGCTCCTGTGAAGTTCAAGGACGGGAGAACGTTCTATGGCAGATCCTGCGATCCCACGTTGCCAGGCTCGAAATTGCACGCAAACAGAGCAGGCGTAGTCGAGGAAAGCTCCCTTAGGGAGGAGCTCCCCTTAGGAAGTTGAATTCAATTACTGGACCGGCATGCGGAAAAGATAAAGGTGTGACGTTGCTAGCGCTGGTGACAGTCCATAAATGAAGGAAGAGCGAACAGAAGAAGAAACATCCGAGTCCAACACATTCTTGGATGCTTCCAACATTGGAGTAGTCAGTACGGCAAATGACGGTACAAAGAATTATCATCACTCATTTCTAAGTTGCCGTAGTCAAACGGGATATTCTCTAAGAATCCCTGACTGCTCGAAACAGCGTAATTGTTGGAAAAGGCACCCTAGCTGCGCTCCGATCCGCACAGTTTCACCTCCTCTAATTTGCAGGGAACACTTTATGTTGCTGCGTGCATTTCTAGACACTTCCTACCAGCCACCATCACCATTCACTTCCCACCACCTTCGAAACAGGGCAGCACGCTCGGTGCTAAGCGTTTCGTGACAAACGGACACATTTTGGTACACAACCTGACATATCCAAAGACATAGAAAGCGAATAACCAGAGACTCATGGGCTCATCGTTGGACCGTCTTGAAGAGAGGAAACTACTATCTCATTTTCACCTCACTTTTTACCATTGCTGTCCGACAAACGAGCTCACTAACTGGACCACAAATGCTTCTTGTCCCGCGGACTGTTTCTCTGTGGGGAAAAACACTTTTTTGTCGTGTGCTCGCTCACTTGTAACGTATAACACGCACCAGTCGGCTATTGAGCCCCCTACCTACAATCTGCAATACGTTATATCGCGAAGGAGATGCTCAATCGTGTCGCACATATCCAGTATCACATATCTTGTTTGAAGTATCATCATACAGTATGATTGTAGAGGAAGAGGGAAGTAACTTCATTTTTGTTTAATCCAGGTTAGACAGTGGTAGGAGATCAAAGCATGTTCTACAGACGTAAGTACAATAATCTCTTAC